TTGTTTTGTTAGCGTTGGTACAAGTCCAAGCACATTTGAATTAGTGCTGATTTGGAGTAACTGTTCCCTACATTTACTGCAATTCAGAGGGCAATGATAATAAAGCTGACCAAATTTCTTGGACCATTAGTAAACTGAGACCAATATTAAAAATGAAAATAAGGAACTCTTAGAAGCACACCACATAGTTTATGTATATGTCCACATATCATACAAATACATATATTTGTGTGTGTGTGTGTGTGTGCGTGTGTGCAAATATACATATATATATTCATTATTCACTATTTAATGATACTTCTGATATTTCCCTTGGCTGGAATTCCAAAATAAAAACAGAAAACTTATTTTAGCATATTAAATTTAAATTTATCCTTGCCATTTTTCAAACTAAATCAGTATCATAAAATTATAATGTCCTTAAAAATTCTCATTAACTTTTATTTCACTATTGTTTTGAAGACTCTATAATTGGATTCTGGTACATGGAGACCTTTCCTACCAATTAACTATGTATTTTTTCACATCTGACTAAACAAAATTGAGTTGGGGTTTAATCATTCAGTCCTTGAACTTGAATAGTTTTTCCTGTTCTAAAGTGTTTCTCAAGCAAGTGTAAATGACATATTGAATCCTTATGTGTATCTATTAAGGCACTCATTTTCCCTATACATATGTGCATGTTCCTTATGTTTTATTTCAATGACTGTGGAAGTATTTGTCAGTGGTTGTAGCACAAAGTCTTTGGTGCATGAGAAAATATTTTAATGCTATTGACTCTTGGGTTTCTTACACTAAATTTTGCATTGTCCTTACCATAAAAAGGAGGGAGGGGGCACAAGGAAACTCTTGAAGGTGGTGGATATGCTTATTACTTTGATTATGGCGATGGGCTCACAGGTGCATGTCAATGTCCTAATCCATCAAATCATATATATTAAATACGTGCAATATTTTGTATCTACTACACCTCAATAAAGCTATTAAAAAATGTTCATATAATCAGGCTACCCTGAAGACTAACAGTAAAATATATAACCAAATAAATTAAATATGATGGGCCTACTCTGTATAAATAATACTATTAAACATTATATTTCACTAAAGAGAAGCTTAATGTATACGACATTGAGTTCCAGATTACATTGATTCAAGCTCTGATCCTGTCACTTCCCATATAAATGATCTTGGACAAATTATATAAATTGCCTTTGACTCATTATCCTTATCTGTGAGGGGAGACAGAAATATCATTGTACTTCAGTTAGTTCTTGTGACCATTAAATGAAAAACACCACAGACTGTCCGGTCCAGGTTGTCTCTTAGGCAAGGTGACAGTTTTCCCCAGTGCTATACAAATCACCAAATATGTTAGTTTGGACTACTGTATCATTTTTTTTTTTTTCAGTTTCTTTTCTCTTCTGGAAAGAGTGATGTTATACTTTAAAAACAAGGACAGCAGGGGCGCCTGGGTGGCTCAGTTGGTTGGACGACTGCCTTTGGCTCAGGTCATGATCCCAGAGTCCTGGGATCGAGTCCCGCGTCGGGCTCCCAGCTCCACGGGGAGTCTGCTTCTCTCTCTGACCTTCTCCTCGCTTGTGCTCTCTCTCACTGTCTCTCTCTCTCTCAAATAAATAAATAAAATCTTAAAAAAAAAACAAAAAACAAAAAAAAAAACCAAGGACAGCAAAGGATAAATAAGATTTACCAAAAAGCTCCTAAATTCATGTAATAAAGATAAAATCAATTTCTATATCATATTCATATTATCAGTGAAATATTCAGCGCTACTATTATCTGCATCCTAGAGATGAAGAAACCAGGGCTTAGGGATCTAATGTAACCAACTCAAGTCATATACTAAGAACGGGACAACCCAGTTCGGGAATTAAGAAATTTGAATCCAGAGTCATTGCCTCCCCATATCAAAAGCCTACAACTTCAAAATACTATGTTCACAATAATAAGATCATCTTTTAGGTTATTTCGGAAATATAGTTGGCAGATTTCCATTTTGGATATGTTTATGTTCCAATACCTTCCACTATATCACACCACAATTAGTCAACTGATCCCGACACTAGGCTTTGAATGAATTTCATCTCATCAGTGCTTAAAAGAACTGGAAGTTTAGGGCCCGGAAATCCCTGCAGGCTTGTCTCTGTCATCCTGCTTCTGTGCCCCACACCTCAGTTACCCTGATGTGTCCATTCCCTGCACAGACCTCCCCTCAACTTTTCCTTTGATCAATCAGATTGTTATGCAAGAGACTCTCCTCTCTCCACACGCTCACCTCCCCTTTGTTTCTCATCCTTCAGGTATCAGTCAGAGAGACCCATGCTTGGCTCTCCTCCATCCCTTACAGGCCTGACATCTGAGCAGAAAGTGTACTTTGAGCTTCCTCTGTGGTAGTGAACAAAATACACATGGATTCTGCCATCCTGGGACCTTGTTAATAACCAAAAGCAATAAATCAAGCTACAATCACAAATTTTAACACTCTTTGAGAGAAATAAACAGTGTGTTGTGATTCAACACATACCTTATACTTAAGGAAGTCTCTCCGAAGTGACAGATGTCTCATGTATTATCTGAAGAATGAGGTGGGCCAGAAATAAAAGCATTTTTGGCAGAAGTTATACTATCAGGGCAGAATCGAATACGGTCCAAAGGGATTTCTGCTTTATTGTTTGTACTTATTGCTTTCCATTAACCTATAGGAAATGAATTCTAAATGAAACCCTTCTTGGACTTTTTT